TATATTATTGATTATTTCACACTCACATAAAAATTAGGAAAAACGGGTTTATCGAATGCTCTGAATGTGTCAAACTTATTGATCAATCCGGATTTGAAGGAAGTGTTGGACTACAATGACAAGTAAATATATTTAATTGTCCAAATCATGAGTTAAAGCTTAAAGTTGGTGTTTCAGTCATGTTGCTGAGAAACATAGACCAATCGTCAGGTTTGTGCAATGGCACCCGACTGTCAATCACGCGATTAAGAAAACGAGTCTTGGAAGCAAAAATTATATCAAGCACCAACATTGGTCATAAGGTTTTTATTCCACGACTCACTCTGACGCCATCCAATAGCAGATTTCTTTTAAAATTTTAACGTCGCCAGTTTCCTATCATGCTTTCGTTTGCAATGACAATAAATAAAAGTCAAGACCAGTCGCTTCAACATGTAGGTATTTATCTTCAAAAGCCGGTGTTTTCGCATAGACAGTTATATGTTCTATCTCAAGAGTTATCAGTTGCAAAGGATTGAAGATACTTATATGTGACAAAGATGGAAACACTTCAAATACTACGACGAATTTCGTTTATAAGGAAGTGTTCCAAAATTTGATCTAAGTAATTTATTTATATTATACTTTTTAAACTTATTATGTTTTTTAGCATTGCTGACTTTAATATATTATGGTGATGATATATAACTTTTTATACAGTAAATTTTAGATTGAGATATTATGTATAAGATTCATACTCTTAGTTAGTGTTTGTTTGCAACACTAGATGCATGGGATAAAACTATTTTATCCCACATAAAAGAGTGTCTACTTTTTGTGGTACCTTTGATTCTCCCATCCCCAAGCTTGGCAACATTCATGGGTGGTTAAAATGCATAAAGAACTTTGAATTGTCTATCAATTTGTGAAATTTAATGTAGGTGTTATGAAGAATATATGGTTCCATTTTGACTTTATTCATGAAATTGTTTTAAAAGTTCATTAAGAGATTTACGTATTAATCTTGGCATTTTATATTTTTTTATCAAGTATTTAATATAAGATTTGTTTACGTAACTGTAACTTTTGGCAAAAGTATGGTAGCCGTAGGCAGGGGCGGTCCCAGGGTCTCGGAGGCCCGAGGCGAGAAACAAAAACGAGGCCCTCTTAATTACCAACTTTATTTTGACTTATCAACTCATTCCTCAACCATAATTCCACAACTTCATTTTCAACATATTTTTGCAAGATAATTTACAGTTAAACCTCTATAAATTAATACAGTCGTGACTAGGGAAATTCTATTAATTTAGCGAATTATTAAATTATCGAGTTAATAATTTAACACGTTTTCACCGAGTCGGGACCGAAAGAAAATATTATTTAATCGAGGTTATTAATTTATCGATGTTCTACTGTATTTAAACCTAAGAGCTCTGTTTGTGATTTTTTTTAATATCCTAACTCAAACTTTTCTATTGCTCATTGTATCGATAGATTAGTACTAACCTAAAATTTATCGAGGTTCTACTGTATTTAAACCTAAGAGCTCCGTTTGTGATTTTTTTTAATATCCTAACTCAAACTTTTCTATTGCTCATTGTATCAAGTAAAAAAAAGTATAGGATAAGAAATAAAAGAATCAAGATAATGACTTATAAACTTAATTAATTCTTAGCTTGTCATTCAACAAAGAAGAAAAGAAAAAAGGAGGGAAATTAAAAATAGAATTAGAAAGAAAAAAGAGGGAAATTTTGGGAAATTAAAAAATAAAAAAAAAATAAAAAAAAAGAGGGAAATTAAAAAGAAAAAAAAAAGAGGGAAATTAAAAATAAAATTAAACAAAACAAAGAGAGAGGGAATGGTAAGCTTTTAACCGTTAGGTCACGGACTCGAACACGCGACATACAAAAATCTATGAGTAATACTTAGCCAACTATGTTAAACAGAATTCTTAGAAAAATTTTGTAGCTTAGTAAATATATACGCATTTGAGAAAATTGGAGGCCCTAAATGTTTTCGATTTTTCGGAGGCCCAAGGCGACGGCCTTACTCGCCTTGGGCTTGGGCCGGCCCTGGCCGTAGGGGCTCATTTTAATCAGTTTTTTTTAGCAGTTTATTTACCATATAATTGGTCCGACTTTTAAACACATGCATTCCTAAATAAATAGAGTATTAGTCTGCAATAATTTTATTCCAATCCGTGCATCGCACGGGTTAGATTACTAGTGTATAATAATATAAAATATTATATATAGAAATAAATAAAAATAAAATATAAATATTGAAAAATATATATACTTATAATTTATTGTTTATTTTGTATATTTTTTAAATATCTTTTAATAATAATAAAATAATAATTAAAAAAATATTGAAAGAAAAAAAAAACACAACAAAATGGGCTTCGGCTCAACCTCAAACCAAAAAAAGGAACTCGACAAGCTCAAGCATGCCAAAAGAGGCGAACTCATCTCGTTCACAACCCTATCCTAAACTACCACATCAACTATTGGGATCCATACGAGTCCATTAGGTTAATTATGATGATAGTCATGCCATATGAGACGAGCCTTAGCTCACATATCTAGTTAAAAGATATTTTTTATTCAGAGTGTTTAGACAACACGTAAAGCTCTATTTCGCTATGATAACCAATTTATAAAATGACGTATTGATGCTAAGTATCTTACTTTGGGATATACACAGTGGACGAGTGTATATATATCACATAGAATAAACTCCATTGTACTACTAAGGATGTCATGCAAAATGTTTAATTCAATTAGCATATTGTTCGTATGGGTGTTGTATTATTTAAGAATATTTCTATGCTACACATGCACCTCATCATAATATATGTCATTCAACATGTGTTGATACAGTGACTATTGTTAGGTTCTGGTACGATTAATGTGAATGAAGACCCCTTCGATTCGGTGTAGCATAATTGACGGATTAGATTGGTTCTAGACGCACTTCAGTAACAATAATAAAGTTGAGTTCAAAGGTTATTTCCTCCAACTGTACGGCCTTAATTATAAAGTTATATAGATAGTCCAAGTGAGAGACAATTGGTTCATTAATTAGTCCAAGGTCGACTTACATGTGACATTATGAGTTGTAAGGTTAAACCTGTTAAAATTCATCTACTAAGATTTATTTGGACTGGGCTTTAAACGTATTTAATAGAGTGTGAGCCTATGATGCATAGAGACGTAAAGGTAATTTTGATTATAGTGATGGGCTAAAATGAAATTACCACAAAATATTGATATATTGGCCATGGTCTCTAAGTTGCAATGTATAACGTTGTTTTCTACATCCCATCAACATAAAGGTTTTTAGAGAAAATCGAAAGGGTTCTCAGGAAAACGTGCAGAGCTAGAAAATCCATGACCATTCGATATCAATCGGCCAAGAATAAAAACTATGGGTTAAGGTACCCTTTCGATTTACATTTATGTAATATTCTTGACGATTCAGCAAATCGGTCTATGGGATTTATTCGAGTTTATTCCTACATTAAGGCCTCGTGTAATCGTTGCTTAGTCCATATGGGCTCATAGACGTTGTCAATCTCTAGGCCCATATTTCAGATTTTGGGCGTGACATTAATTAGCCATGACAATGTCCGTCTTACTAACTGGTGTTTCACATTACAACTTATAAAGTGGTTTCTTGAAGTTTGACAAATCTATAATTCGTCGTCCTATAACGGAACATCTTGGCGACGATGCAATAGTCTCTCCCATTGATTACAACTAAAACATAATGTGTTGTCTTATAACTCATGGCCTATTTGCGGACATTTACTCGTCTCACTTAGCTTGTAAGAAATTAAATATTTAATAATGATTAACGTACCTTCACACATAGATTCGAATCCGGCAATGACTGATGAAGAAGCAAACCCTAAAGCATGGACCCCACACTCTTCAAGATCCCGTCGATTTGCTCCGTCGGGTTTAAAAGCTTTATGGCAGGCCGTGAATGAAAGATTGGCTTCAAAACTGTTTGTTATAATATCACCTGCCAATACACGCAGGCAATGTATAGGCTATAGATGTTATTACAAACAGTTTCGAAGTCAATCTCGGCCGCCAATTCAGTCATCCTTGTTGCTGTTGTTGCATATACATATATAGATATACATATATATATCATGTATGTGTGTGTGTGTGTGTAGAAATGAACAAGTATAAATAGAGAATGGGGGTGCTTGGGAGTAGGTATCCATTGAAGTTAATTAAGGCAGGGGAGAGAAACTAGGGTACTTTAAGAACTTCATTTATTTTGCATGGTTCTTGGCTAGATCCGCCTATGCTATAGTTTTGTGGTGGTGTATATATAACATTAATTGTGCACTATCTTGAAATTGAAGAACAACAGCGTCGTTTTCGGGTCATTTTTTAATGGACGTACGATTTTTTTTATTTTTTTTTCTTTTTTATTTTTTTTTTTCGATTTGTTTGTCGCGAGGATCATTTAATTATTCCCAAGCATCACAAAGATTAATTAAACAATTATTTGCTGTGATTAGGAAAATGTGCCGATACCCTAGTAGATTATGAATTATGATCTGTGTTTGTGTGTGAGAGTGGGGAGAGATCTGAGATCTAGATATATTGTTTGTTTAATCAATTTTATGTTCTTCAATATTTAACTATTTTATTTTGTTTAGCAAAATGTGCGGAGATCTGGATATATTGTTTATGTTTTCTTCTTCTGTGCAACTACAGCAATTGTCTGGAAATTAATTGCATGCACAGACAATAATGTAGAGATGGGTTTTGGTTGTTATGGATAAACAAACACTACTATAATTTACCAAAATCCCAACGATTTCTTTCTCATTTCGGTTTTGGTTTCGGTTAGACACGAGGTGGACGTTACATCGAACTCTCCAGAGATTTACATAAAAATTGCGATAATTCTGGGTTAATGGGTTGACTGTTAGCGGAATGAAGAGACCCCAAGAAAGGTAGTGTGAATGAAGCCAAATTAAGAAGACACAAAAATTAGTAGAAAGAAAGAAAAAAAATTAGTAGATAAACAAAATGATAGTTTCAATCACCGGAAAAAAAAAAATTTCTATTCAAACACGATTTTGAAAGAGAAACTTAACAGCATGAGGAGAAAGACGGGATCGTTTAGCGGTGATTTGCATAAGGGCACCATCGGTAATTAAACGCCGCAAAACTCTAGCAATATTTTTTGAATCGTCGATACCAAGATGGTGGCTTCCTAATGGTCTAATCCCAAGTTCCCTCATCATCGAAAGCATTCCTGGTGCCTGCACAATCACCCAAGAAATTAATAAAAATTTAAAAAAAAAAAAAATTAAAAACAATAATACGGCACGTGGATCATGCAATCACCCTTCTATTGTAGAAGTTAAGGTAAATGTCCTTGAGGTTGATCCATTCCATAAAATACGGTGGTAGTTTCATCCCCGATACTTCACACTGCTGGGGTATTTTTGTCTTCACATCCCAATTTCCACTAGTGAATATAGATAGAGCAAATTTGTGTTAGTTAAAATAGAATAACGAGCGAAAACGGAATTAATTAATAACTAGTATCTCACCAAGTTACGAATGCAGCTTCATTCAGATGTCCATCTCCCTCCTCTCTCCATAAATTAATGTTTCCATCTCGTTTCTTTCTAAGCCAACTCTCGAATTGTTCGATAACATCGTCAAACGGTATAGCCGTGTCGTGCCAAACACTGCATGTAAACCCGAGTTGACTCAGTTTCTATACTATACAGCAAATTTAGCAAGAGGCAGCTGTGCTCAAGCGGTGTAGAATTTAGAAATACTAATCACCTAAAATTTACGACTTTAAAAGCACAAGAGTACTAAAAACATCTGTCCCGTGATGAAACATATAGATTTTGGAACGAGTAACGATGCTAGTAGATATAGATCATCAAAATTGTTAGAAAAGATTGAATAATATACCGGTCAACTCCAAATCCTCCGTACTTCCCCTCGATGTACTCGTTTATTCTTTTCTCGCTCATCTTTGTAGGCCTTACAAACCTGCCAAAACAAGAAAAATACAGAAAAAAACATTTTAACGAACTAGAAGTTCACAAATTGCAAACCATCTTATCGCTAACCAACAAATTTCAGCAGTAAAAGATTGTGAAATGTCAAAGCAAGCTAATTAACAGATAAACATAAGAATTTACAGACCAAAACAACAAACGTTGTCGTTCTGATTAATCCTACCACCACTTACACCTGTCGTTTTCTATTCTAAGAAATCCAACTCATTTCGTTCAATAGAAATAAATCGGAACCGTTGACTCTTATCGACATAGTGCATCTCTAAGTATAATTTCCAAACAAAACAAACAAACGAAATGCATAAACTACGAGTGCCGATTCTGATCAATTTGGTTACCGGTGAAACAAATCGACGACATCGAGAGTTTTTGCATCGAACAAAAGCACCGGAAACTCCAAAATCTCAACTTTGCCCTCCAAATCCAGCACGAGAAAGTAATCGAACTCTTGAGCCCGCCGTGAATCGTTCAAAACCGGAACACTCTCCTCAAAATCCACCGAACAACTGTGGCAGAATTTATCAAGGTGAAGAGGATCTTCCATCTGCACCAATTACACCGGAAGAATCAGCGCACAAAATCAGAAACTTTTTTTTTTTTTCAAAATTCCCTCACATGAACAAACGAATCAATTAGCGACATGTTTTCGGAAGTAATTTAACGTATTAATTACCATAGTGCAGCTGCCTTGGGTGTGGTACAAGCACATGGGCTTCCATTTTGAATTTGTACCCATTTTGGGGATTTCTGATTGGACGACGGCGGCGGAGGATGTTGATTCTTCGGTTGAGAGAGAACAGCATTCAACGAATGAAGGTTTCGATTTGGATTGTTTGAGGGGTGTGGAGAGTGTGGAGAAATTGAAGAAGGGTGATGGCGGAGATGAGAGAAGAAGAGCGCGGCGGAGAAGCGGGAGCCTCCAAGTAGCCATGGCGGAAATTGAGAGAGGAAAATTGAGGGTTTAAAACGGATAGTTTTCTATTTTCTCGGGGTTTATATGAAATAAAACAATATTATTGATAAATAAGAATTTCTTTATTCAAGTCTAAATAATTTTTGAAATTTGCATTATGTTATCCCAATGACATCCAAATAAGCTTATTTATTATAAAAACTCGACTTTTGAATTTAAAACATACGGTTAAACCTCTATAAATTAATATAATCGAAATCAACCAAATTTTGTTAATTTAACTATATATATTTTTAACATATTGTCCTCAAATTAGGATTGAGAAAACATATTATTTCAATAAAGTTATTAATTTATTGATTTTTTTTTTTTAAATGGTCAATTCTAATCCAATTCATGTGATTCCCATCTATATAAAGTATAATAGAACATCGATAAATTAATATTCAATAAATTAAAATTTTCACTTGAATAATAATTTACTATGGTCCTGACTCGGTAAAAATGTACTAAACTTTTAATTCGATAATTTAATATTTCGCTAAATTAACAAAATTTTGTTAGTCCCGGCTTTACTAATTTATAGAGGTTCTTTCATAAACCAGTAAAGTTAGTACCTATGCATGTTAAAATATTTTCATAGAAAGTGTCTGCATTCACAAAGAAAATAGTTTTTGCAATTTAGTCAACTACTACACACAAAATATTAGTTAAAAAACAAAAGTTAATTTTGATGGTTATGGCATGTAGATAATGGGAAATCTCCTTCTTGGTCAAAGATGGAGGAGAAATAATAACATAATACCTCTCCGGAAACAAGCAGCTTACATAAACAGCAATTGTGTAATAATCTCATCAACTAATCTTCTTCAGCTAAGCTGAGTAAAATCTTCAATGACATCAGCTCTGGCGCGTTGTTTACTCATCGAGCGCAATTCATCTATTTCTATCAGCAATAGTGGGTCGCACACCACTCTTTCTGCCTGTAAGGTTTTAGGGCAACCTAAAACGGGAGACTGTCAGATAAGCTGAGACACACACGATTAATAATTTTTGCATTTAAAAGAGCAGATAATATATATACCTGTCACAGGACAACGACCGTGTGAATTCTTGGACCTTATATGTTGCATTATAGGCTTCTTCTCATATATGTGCTTGCAATCCATGCTGCCGAAATAGCAAAATACATACAGCAGAAGTTAGCGTTTCTGAAATTTTGCTGACTAAGCTTTTGAGGAACAAACTTTTTAAGGAGGAAGGTAGTAAAAACAAAACATATTGCCTCGTTAAATTAAAAAATAAAACGAATGTCAGAGTCTATCGGTTAACCACTTCCCAAAAAATCTTTTTTTTTTTTTTGCATACAATAGCAAAAGCACAAGAAGTGTGCAGAGTAAATGCTGCCGTTGTCTTGTTTATAACAGATTTGTATATAGAGGAAGGGAAGTGATTATTATAAGATAATACTTGAACAGTACCTTCGGACAGGTTCCGCTAGTTCAGTGACAGGCTTTCCAGACAGAGGACATGTAATATTCAGAAGATTGCTGTCTGTGCTGGTCATTACTATGTCCTCCTGCTCTTCACCTGGCATAGGTTGTCCCGCATGATGAACATTCTGCATTTAAATATGAAAATCACACGCAACTACAAAGGTTATTTAATATGCAGGTGAAATATGGAATACGGGGATTCTTGCTGAAGTGCCACGTAAAATTAGGTATAAAACTAGCAACTAACAGAGAGCATCTTGCAAACATCATTAATTTGAGTTGCTAGAGATTCCCTAATATCCTCGCCACTGAATGAACTGCTAGGTTATATATATATATATATATATATATATATATATATATATATATATATATATATATATATATATATATATGTGTGTGTGTGTGTGTGTGTGTGTGTGTGTGTGTGTGTGTGTGTGTGTGTGTGTGTGTGTGTGTGTGTGTGTGTGTGAGTGATCTTTAGACTAGGATACAGTATAATGCCAATACGCAATGAAATGCCATCGTTCTAGTATTACCAAAGAAGATTAAGGCATCACTTATATAAGCAAAAAAGTCTAGACAACATTAACATGTAAAAAGACTTACGCAAATAAGTAGAAAGGAAAAAGGACCAATAAGATACAACAAGACATAGGTTGCATGCTATTTAACTTAAGAAAGTGTCATTCATAGTTCGTGTCATTAACGCACCCACACAGCTTCACGGAACTGTCTTAACCATGGATGGTTCTGTGATACAGATGATGAACCAGCGCTTAATCTTTCGATTCTATCCTCAATCAGCTTATTGAAGTTGGTTAGCTGCACGCACAAACAATAGTTCAAATTGATAGATATCAATGCAATGAAGATATTATCAGCTATACCAAGAACCCTCGGGAAAGAATCTATGACATAATCATTACCTCAGCTCCAGGCTGGTATTCATTTCCAATAGATTGGATAGCATTGGAAAGATGACTGCAATCATCTGAGGCTTTCACTAATTCAAGAACACCAGCTTCAAGCTCCTTCACCTGCAATACCATTAAATAACATCTTTTGCGATCAACTTATAAGTTGTAACATCAACTAGAATCTCACGCACTTCTGACAAGGATCATAAACCATAAATATATCTTGTCTACATTCAAACAAACCATTAGATCCATGATCTGTAATGAAAAATTTACAGTGCACGGAAAATGCAAACCTCACAATCAAAATAGAGATAAATTGGATTAGAAGTAAAGGGATTAAACGTAAAGTTTGAATATCTCCGACAATTACATAGTACATGATAGAAATGCAAATTCATACCAAGTGACTTCTTATACTTCAAGAGGATGAAAAGAAGATAATCCATAGTAATATTGAAACTCGAAATCATATCGCCAAAATATAAAGCTACGTCACCAGCTGTAACTTCTCCAACGATATTTTTTTCTCGTTGAAGTTAAAAATTTAAACGTAGACAAATATTCTTTACACAAACATACATTTAAAATTCCTCTTATCTGAAACAAAATGATTAGTGAGAGAGAGAAAACCTAAACTACAGAATCGAATCCCCAAAAAAATGTCCTTTTTATCAAAATTTCCAAATTTTGTTCCAATAAGAAATTTCTCATTTATTTCGTATACACTACAAAATACTCCAAACCTATAAAACAGAGCACATCTGAAGTCACCATACGAGCTAGAGCCTTCAACCAAATAGTTTTTAAGACAACAAATTCAATATCCCCAGATATTTGAGAATTATGCTAGGGTTTAGGGAAAAAAGAAAAATACCCGATCGGAATTGTTATCCTCCTCAAAACAGACAGCGGTTTCTTTCATCATAATTGTAGCTCTTCTAATTTCCTGAAAATTGACGGAATCCAAAAAAAAAAAATCAACAACTAAAATCGTTAGGGCTTATGCAATTGGGCGAGAAAAAATACAGCGATGAGAGTCTGATTGTCGGAGGAAAGTGTCGAAGCCGCTGACGCAATTCTTCCACAGGCCGCGCTGTTGCGAGGAGCAGAGGTTGACGCCATTGAAGCTTTTTCTCCACTTGTTTGGACCTTTCTCGATTTTGAAGACGAGCCCTTTTCTGGCTTTGATTATTTGGAGGGAAAAACACCGGGAGTTCGAGTGTACTGTGTACAGCGGAGGGTAAGTTTGTAATATTTGTAGCTCTCCTAATTTCTCAAAATTATGTTTGTTAATTTATTTTTTTTAAATCCCTAAACAATTCCCCTTTTTTAAAAAACAAAATATCACTTAAATTTTCACCATTTAGATTTTAGAGAGGGATTGTGTACTAAAATAAATGCATTATAGGAGGATTTTTACTAGGATCAGCAATTGAGTGGGACCTAATCATAGCCCGGTGATTCGGCCCGATTATATATGAGTTGAACATAATCTTTAAGGAGCTATGTCGAGTTTGAGCTATTTTATTAAGTCCGATTCATTTATGAGACGAGTTTGAACCTACTATGACTTAATCCGTTATTAACTCGCCCGGTTAAGTTAATAATTAAATATACGATATATTTATTATTTTGATGATATCGCTTAACATACAAGTTACAATTTACAACCGAATACAATTATTTTATTTTGAAAAACAAATAAAGGAAAAGGTTACAAAAAAATTAAATTAAATTAAGTAGTGGCACCGGTAGTTACAAATAGTCAAATAGAAATCAAGTGAATATTCTATTTTATGGAACACACTATAGTTGTTACTTATTTTGCTCTGGATATTCTAGATTTTCATCTGATTGTAAAATATGTAATTTATATACGACTCAATACAAGTTCTACCTAAGCTCGAATCGAAGTCCGAATAGATACATGAGTCGAGTTTGAAATTAAAACTATTAAAAATGAGACTTTAGCTTGAGCCTATATTTATAAGATCCGATAATATTTGAGTTTGAACAATCCAAACTCAACTCACATGTGACCCGGTTGTCAACCCTAAATTTTACTAATAGTAAAAGCACGATATGCTAGGGAAGACTCCCCGTGTAAATCCCTCAATACAAATTACTACCTAACTTATTGGGAGTTAGTGGATACATGAGTTAAGTAAGAAGTTGACTTATTTAATTACGAAGAAAAATATCTGTTTTTAGACCGTTAGACAGTCTATTTATGATATAATTTTAAATTATTTGTGCATGCATACAAATAAGTTTTAGGGGGGTGTCAATGGGTTTTACCGTTTTACCCTCCGAATTTCAAATCATGATATGTGTAGATTCTTAGGGTCTATTTAGCTAAACTTATTCTAACAGTTTAAGAACTATTATATTTGATAAATTGTTTTAAGAGCAATAAAATAATAAGATTGAGTGGATTAATCACTTTGACCAAAAAAATTAGACCAATTTGATTAATAGTGTTCATTCATTTCATAAGTACTATTATTATTATTATTATTATTAAAGAAATCAGAAGTACATATAAAAGGGGCTGGAAATATTGGGCCTACGGACAGAAGTGGCTTGGTAGGCGGCGCCAGAGTTTTCTAAATTGGCATGCAATAAATTGACAGCACCGACGGAGAAAGTAAACGAAGCTGAAAACGCTGTTTTTGTACAAGGTCGTCGTGTATTTTTCTTTGGTCAAATTTCCTGAAATATTGGAATTAATTATGATGACGTCATAATATCATGTTAGTATTTCAGATCGTGTGCAAGTGCAACATATTGAATTTTATACATAAATACATATATAGATGCACAAAATTAAAGAGAGATGTTTGTTCGAGACTTGAGTATGAATTTATATATGACTAAGTGAATTAGTAACTATTTATTTATTTGTATTTCGCAGCAAAAATACCACGTCTTTCATTTTATCTTGCATGAAATTTCATATTCTAACCGTTAACACGAGTGATTAATTAACGGCCAATGAGTTTTGGTAGTGTGTAGAAAGATTCCCGAGGAAAGGTTCACTCGGTGGAAGCGGAAGCCCAAGCGGCCGACAATGCATTTTGTAAGGCTCGGTAAAAGGGATGGGATTTAATTATCGTTGACGGAGATTGCCTACACGTAAATGAAGATGATGATAGAAGCAAATTCGTTGCTACAATCTTGTGACGTGTTTTCGAATGACTACTTAATTTTAGCTAGAGATTTTTATCTTTGTCCATTTTCGTTTATTAATCGTTTAGCTCCTGATCTAGCTAAACAGACGAACCGAATAAATATTTACCGCTCACAAACACACCCACACCCACATTGGTGTGTGTAAATTAACGATAAAAATCACTCGGTGTAACCTTCACCGGGTGTAGCATTAAATAACCAACTACGATTGTATGGTGGGTTCATTCCTTCCTAGGAATTTGGCTAATTATATGCCTAATATGTTGATTTTTTTATCTCTTTATAAAAAGTACATTGTGTAAATGATTTTATGCAAGTCTTTTGTGAAGTAAGGGATTTGGTGCTTATTTATACAAACAAATGAATTTTTTTTATAATCTATTATTCTAAAGCTTGATTTGTTTTCTTAATCAAGTCGAACAAATATGGAAAATAGAAGATTAATGATAAGGGTGGAATTTCAAACGAATTTTTAAATTTTGCCGTTTTTAATACAAAATTTTAATTTTAGAACGATTTGTTTTTCTCCTTTCGATTTCCAAAATCTTATTTAAAATAAACAGAATGCAGCGAAAATTGAAATATACATAAAATTTCATTTTTTTAACAAAATTTTAATTTATTAATGTATTTAAAAAATGATTTTTCAAAAATATATATTTATAAAATCAAAAGTGTTGTATGTTTATATAGTTTACCTTGGATGTGTTACATATCTGAGAATTACAAGTAATATGAAAATTATTTCCAACTTTCTCCCATACTATTAATTTTTTTTATTTTCATATTGGAATTTAATAAATGTGTTCCACGTAATTTAAAAAAAAAATATTAAAGAAGTAAATTATCCCTTCATAGTTAAGGGTGTTAATTATTAACAGAATATGTATTTTTTTATGAAAAATATATAACATAGGCAGTTCTATGTAATAAAATTAAAACAGAGGGGTTTGGTGCAATTTTTTTTAACCCGTTTTTCTTTTTTCCTCGTTGTTTACCCCAAATACACACATTAAGAAATTAAATATAAATTATTTATATATAATTGTACATTTTATTGATCAAACCCAAACTAATAATTAAAATTACTTCTCCATTTTTTTTTTGTTTTATCCAAAATGAATCAAATATTATACCCAAAATTAAAATCTCTTTCGTTGACCCCATATATTTGATCTGTAATTGGACCACACGTGTTTGATCCCTTTCCCGCACCCAGCATCAAGCAAGCATACAGCTCTTCAAATTGCAAAGCGTCGCCGGCGCCACCGCCGCCGCCGCCGTTCGCCCAGTTCGCCGAGCAACCCACGTCGTCGTTCAGGCTTGAGCTCCCGCCTCCCTCATCGCAGCAGGTACTCGACAGAGACGAAACCGGAGGTGCTTGCGCCGCCGCCAGCTGTCTGAACCCCGACAACGAATCCTGAGCTCGTTTAAGCTCCCCTCGAAGGCTGGCGACTTGTCTCTCCAGCCGCTCCTTCTCGGCTTCGGCTGCTTCGAGCCGCACCTGGAGCGAGCCGCAGTCGAGCTCCAAGCTCTGATTCTTCCAACGGGCCCTCTTGTTCTGGTACCAAATGGCGATCTGCCGCGGCGGTACGCCCAGCTGGCGCGCCAGCTGGAACTTGTGCTCCGGCTCCAGCTTCTTGGCGGCGTCGAAGCTTGCCTCCAGGAGCCGCACTTGCTCCTGGCTCAGCCTCTTCTTTTGGGCCCTGTGTGAATGGTTTTTAGGGTTTTGTGGCAGATTATTCATTTTTCTTTTTTTTTTTTTTTTGAATTTGAAGTGTAGAGAGTGAGAAAAGTGAAGCTATATATAAAGATTTGATGATGCAGATTATAATATTGAAGTGGGAGTGTGTATGTGTGTATATATATATATATCTAGCTATATATATATAGGGTGCAAAAAATTCAAGATTGGTGGTGGGCTTCACATAATAATTAATTTATGAGTATTTAAGTAGGGTTTGAATTTTTATTTTTATTTAATTTTATATTTGGGAATGAATTAAATATGTAAGGAAGAAAAGGAAGGGGAGAGTGATGTAGATATGTAGATGGTGGTGGTGGTGGGCTGACTTCTCATGCATGAAGCAACTGTGTTCACGTGGGTTTGGTCCTACACTCGTAGTCTACAATAGTTTTTTTTTTTTTTTTTTTTTTTTTTTAATTTATATTTTCTTTGAATATATATAAAATATATATTCTAATTAAAATAGTTTATCTGATTATGGATTAACTTGAATAATGTCTTAAAATAAACATCTAACAGCGAGCTCCAACTTTGGAGCATGAACTTGGGTATGTTTTTGGTTTCGTCTTGTATATATATATATATATATATATATATATATATATATATATATATATATATATATAACTTAGTCTTTGAATCATAATAATAGATACCAAGAATTTTAATTAAATATATATATGTTTCTATTTGTAGATAATGTGATAGTTTATTGCACCAATAAAATATAAATTAGAGTGAGATTACTCTAACTTTAATTAGTTTGCAACAAAATTATACTATTGCCATTTGTTTTTGGAATATTTCCCAGTCTTTGATATAGATAAGAACAAAACGTTTGAAGGAAGATGTCTCAAGCGTGACAGCCTACTTCAATTCCTATAGTTATTTATATACGTGAAATGTTAAATATCGTTTCAATTTCATTAATACAGTTTTTGCTTTAAACGTGATTTTGACTCATTTTTAATCTAATAATTTTGGCAATATTCGAACTACAGAAACTGTAGTTCTTTGAGTTATCTTTCTAACCCAACTTGAATAAGTTAAATTGGATGACGTGTGACAAAGTTACGCATTAATAAATTACGTATTGAATTTTAGATAACTCAAATATCAAAGTTATGATCATTGTTCATTGACTCATTCATATCTTTCTCATCTAACGTTCAATTTTGGTGATTCAAGCTGTATTAAATGACTAATTCAAATAACTACATATTTCGTGTTTTGAGTTTTGCAAAATTAAACCTCGAAAAGGGTCAATTGATCACTTCACTAAAAAAATGTATCTTGGGAGATCTTAGAACTGAAAATTAATTGAATGAAAATGCATTTTATTGCATGCATTGTTAAGCACAAGTGTTGCGATTGGCCCATTGATCATCCTTGACAGTGAAGTTAGATAACAAGAGTAGGATTCATGAAAACTTTGTAAAAAAAAAAAAAAAAAAAAAAAAAAAGGAAAGAGAAAGGGAATAGTATATCATATATTCAATAATGGAGCATTAGGACTTTGAATTTAAATTCTTTTCATGATGGCTTTATTTTATTTTATTTCTTACATGGCCCCCCAAAAAAATAGGACTTCCATATTCATAAAGTTGGGACCGGACCAAGCCAAATATCAGACAATCACAGCCACATTAGATATATGAAACACCTGAAAGATACCTTTGAAATAATCTCCACAACACCATGAATTTGAATTCCTCAGTGCTATATTTAATTTGCAGGCAACTAATTAACTATACCCTTCTTAAACATATGAGTATTTTCGTATGTTTTGGAGATTACGTACTACAACAATCTTAAATTAGATTCCGCGGTTCGTTAATACACAGTCATATACTGTTTATATGTTGAATGAGCACTTTCTTTGATTGAGCTAGCTTTTGAAGACTAGTTCTACTTAACCCTATCGTAGATATTTACATTATGATACATTTCACTAATAACTTAAACTTTTGGTTCAGATGGTCATTTCAATATGGTATCAGAAACAGACCAAATGAAAGATCTTGAGTTCAATTTTTAAATCCTGCCCGTTTCAAATATTTCTACTACAAGGGTTCAAATAAAGTTGGTCTACACTTGAGGGAGCGTATTGGATATATTTATATTATGATACATTTCACTAAACAACTTACACTTTTGGTTGAGCTGATCATTCAGCAAACCCTTATTTAACAGGCTTGATTGTAGGTGAATGTGCATGGTTTAGAAAGGACTTTTGGGGGAAGAGAAAAACAAATTGAATTGTGGTTTTACAAATTTGGGCGCGATATCGACCTTACTCCGAGTGAAATGTAATCCAAGAAATTTGGTTTTCATCTTAAAAAGTCATTTTACTTTTTTCGTTGTTGTAATATTCAGGGTTTTTTTGACTTTTTTTTTATACATTTTTTGACAAATTTTCATATTATTCTATTTTAATTTTTTTTATTAGTTTTTTTCATTAATAAACTTACTCAGAGATTTTCTCTATTTCCTGTGCCTGGTAATTAGTAGAAATTAATATTAATTTATGTAAGTCATTTAACTCGTATAAATTTATAGTAATTTTGGACTTGGTCAAGTCACTTTCCTCGTTAAAATTGCTAGTAATAGTAGTAGTAGTAGTGTAGTACGGATTTGTAAAGTCAATCAGAGAAATTTGCCGCCAAACATTTAATTTTTGAGTTTTGACGCCACCAGCAAGTTGTGCTTTCGACCGTCAGAAACAAGTTTTGACAAATTTGTCTTCAAATGTGTGCCGTAAATAGACCTTATCGAATTAACAGGTTTTGAATTAAATGATATTAATTGTCTAAGCTTTAATAGACCCAAATTAAATACATTTAAAGGTTTAACAAATTGCGTTTAATCTCCAATGTCAACATTTTCTAATTATTCAAGCTCTTTTTCGTGTATAGAGGTTCTCTAACGCAGTTTCAACTCTCGACTACTTTGCGGGCTATTTCACCAGAACGAGAGTGCAGATACGCAATTGCACCACTTGAATGCAAAGTTTGTTAATTTGCAGCAGTTTACCAATTTTAATTGTATTTTTTCTACACGCGATATCTGACTTAAGAAGCAGTGGAGAAGTTAGTATAGGATGAGGAGTGGCCACGGCCCCCCTTAAATTTTAATTTTTTTACTACTATATATGTAATATATAATTTATTGCTTTTATATTTTCTCCTATAATTTTTAATAATTTAGTTTTCTATAAAAATAAAACTAGTTATTTTTAATTGAAGAGAACAAATAAAAAATAATACATGAATCTAACAAGTTGGATAAGGAAGTTACGAATCGATGATTGAAACCAGGGAAAAGTCCACTCTCGATTGAAAAAAACATTATATTATACTCTCATTATTATTATTTAGTCCACCTAAAATTCAAATTAAATCAAAAGGAATCCTAAAAGTTTTTCTTTCTTTTTTTTCTTTTTCTATCTTCTGATTTTGTCAAAAATGTTTTTTTTATCCTACCTTTTTTCAGGAGCGCTGTCCCCGAGCTCTCGAAAATCTAAATTCACACTCTAACAAAATACTAGACTCACCACTCTTAGAACAATCATTGATGTTACTTCTTTTGTCCCATATTATTTGTCTTTTTTAGAGAGTTTTTTGTTGTCCCAAATTATTTGTCATTTTAGATTTTCAGAGAAGAATCATTAATTGTATTATTTTCAATTTTATCACTTATCACTCCTAATCAGTAATTAGTTGTAAAATAATTAATAACAAGAATGTTTTAGTGATTATTACTATAATCTACGCATATTTATTGATTTTCTTAATATGTACGCTACAATCTAAAACGTCATTTAAAGTTGGAACGGAACGGGTATTAATTTCTTTAATGTATATTCGG